ATTGCATAAATCATACTCAGTGGCATTCACTTGTGCCTACAGCAGCTTTTCTTTTTCTATGGAAAAGATTAATCTGCCCACACCAAAAATGTCTTTTTTCAGTTTTCTTAGCACCACCAAACACACACACATACACACAAGACAGACAACCTTCAGTTTTTAAACCATGTTAGTTCGTGGTGCTGCAACCCGAGTCCCATCCAGGTAGGACAGGATCTTAAGAAGTTCGAATTGTAGCAGAGTGGAAAACTGAAGCAAGGGGAAAAGGAATGGAAATCAGGTCAGTCTAACTGAATTGCAGCAGTTTGTCTGCGAAACACCTTTACTGCTCACTTGGAAAGGGCTGTAGCAACCACTTTAGGGAAGTGTTCTCATCTCTCTGTGGCTGCCTTGCCGAGGGGACTCACCGAGGAGCACAAACTCTGCTCGCTCTGGTGCTGGCAACTGCAGGGGTCCGGAGATACTCACCACAGTGAGGCTTGATGTGCCTGTTAACCCTTATATGTGTGTTAAGTTTTATCAAAAACGCCTTGCTTTTTCATCCAGAAAAGCTACCCTGCCCCAACCTGGTCTTGTTTAATTCAGAAACACACAAGGAGCAAAAGGAAAAAGGGGGAGAGGAGCCGACCCTGTGGCAGGGGGCTTCCCGGCCTTTGGGAACCGTGTTACCTCTCCCACCCGCAGCCGGAGCAACGCGAGCGAACGCGACATGGGCCCTGCTGTCTGCTCCACTCAGCACCACACGTTTTAAGAAAGAAGAAAAAAGCTCCGAATGAAATCTCATTTTCAAAAGGATTATGCAGGAGCAACAGGAGGAAGCAGCCTTTGAGACTTGCTTTTCTATTTTAATGGTGGAATAAGCACTTAAATACATAGATGTAATATTAAAGTATTAAAGAAGGTATGATACTGATGATACATATTTACACACATCTGTACATAAGCTTTGTGTGTGTGTGTGTGTGTATATATATACATACATATATATATATGCGTAAACACAAAATCCACAAACTAACCACAGCAACAAAGGGCAGATGCACACACAACAAAAGCAAGGAGAAAATCCTGCTTCCAGCTGTGTGTTGGATAGCACTGAAGAGGCAAAGCACGAGCTGAAGCACTCCTGTTCCTCCTCATCCTTCCCTGGGTCACTGGAATTGACACACTATTAGGAACTATAATGAACATACCCCACACTGAAGCTGGGGCCTCAAAGGCTGCACGTGTTACCCAAATACATGAATGAACACTGAGCACACCAGGATGCTTTCCACCACAAATCTATTTCAAGTATTTCACTAAAAGAGTCATGTTTGACTAATTATAACTCAGAACATTTTGCAACCACAACCACAGGAAATACCATTTCCCAAAGTTATCCAATTTTCAAAGCCTTCAGCATCATGTATGTCTCCCTTGTATCACAAAAGCCTTACTTTTAGAGCCATTTCTGTAAGTCGATTTTTGACTGAATCGCTAATCTTCTGACTGAAAGGATTAGAGACCTAATGTATTTTCTTAAGGGATTTTTCTACTTATGGAATCAGCCTGCAATCTTCTCACTCTACTCATGACACAGGATTTACTACCATCCATTTCCACACCCTCAGAACTGGGCATGGAGGGAAACCACGTTCTGCAGGAGGCTCCCCATGGCTCTCTGCCCGTGTACTAGCTTATGATGGTGCATTGCACTCTTCAGAAACCTGTGTAATTCCCATATCTAAATTACATGCTGCTTTGCCATCACTGATGGAAAAACTGACAGCGACTGGGAGGTACTTGAGTATCTGGGAATACTACTTAGGAAGAGAGCCAGGTCTCAAGCAAGGTAGCTACAAGTGTAGGTGAAAGCTGGCAAACGAGGAAGCGTTGGACACATCTGTATCAGGTAGTTGTAATGAAGGTGTCTGTGGAAAGAAAAGATGCACAGTGCACACATCTCCTCCCACCCTCTAACCCCACATATCCCAAATAGTTCCATGATTTGTTATAAGAACAGAGAGAGCACAAGCTCCTAGGTAAACGTGAACAAGGTCATCCAAAACTGTGGAGCAGAGGCCCTGCAGCGAGCCACCTCTCCAGCCCAACACGAAGGAAAAATCATGTCCTCAGACTTGCATGTCCTTGGCTCTGCGCACACGTATTTCACCTGCCACATAACCCCAGGAAAGCACAAGCGGGAAGCGAGGCCTGGTGTTTGGCTCTGGAGCACACAGGGCTCCGAGCCTTTCCCAACCGCCTCCCCACGAGGCTCCTGACGCAAGGCAGGGATGGGCGAGACGCGGAAAGCTGGGCTCGACTGCGATAAGGCAGCAAACAACTCGCCTGTGACTCCTCACGCTCCACAGCAATAAAGCGGCAAACCAACACACAGCCAAGTCTGAGACCCAAGTCCAAAAGATTCACAGTCCTGCTTTTACCAAACTTAAAGGCCACAGAAGTTTCTTCCTCTGGCCCTTGGAGAGCAACTTGGAGGAGACAGAGCAGAGCAGACAGCACTGAGTCACAGCTCAGCTCATGCTAATGTGCACCATGAACTGCAGTGACAAAGGAGCAGGAGAGATGCAGCCCTCTCTACCTGTGCTACCCCAAAAACGGCCTTGCCCGGTGATGAGGCGGGAGCAGCAGCTGGGAACGAGGCCTCTGCAGTTGTCCTGTGTGAGACACCGGAGCCTGAGCCCTCACAGGGAACCGCACTCCCAACATCAGGCTGATCACAGACAGAATCACAGAATGCTTAAGGTTGGAAGGGACCTCTAGAGATCATCTAGTCCAACCCCCCTGCACACGCAGGGTCACCTAGAGCACGTGGCACAGGACTGCGTCCAAGTGGGTTTTGAAGATCTCCAGAGAAGGAGACTCCACCACCTCTCTGGGCAGCCTGTTCCAGTGCTCTGTCACCCTCACTGTTAAAACATTTTTCCTTAAGTTCCTGTGGAACTTGAGGATTCTTCATATGATGAAGTGCCTCCTGGTACAGCTTTAATAACAATTTTTGTAATAACTTAAAGAATGAGTAAAATATTTGATTTAAAGCAGTTACATACAGATGAGAAAGCTAAAATATTTGTTCTTCAGTTTAATGAAAAAATGCTCTCTCATAACAAATGCAGAGACATAGCACACCAGTCGCCTGGGGTCTGGCATTCTTTGCAAACATTTCTTGTAATACGTGCTCTTGTTTTGGCACAGGAGTTTAACAAACAAGGACCATGGAGCTTTTCAAGCTATGAGTGTCTCACGGCAAGGAAGAGAGGACTAAGACTTTTACCAGATTAAAACGTGCAGTGACTTGCACTTTTAGAACTCACTTTGAATCTTAATTCCCACAAATATAGTTAAAAAATATACTCACAAGTCCAGTAATACTGTTCTGAAACTTAGACACCTCATTCTCCCAAAGCCCCAGCTCAGGTCCTGCCCACAAAAGTCTCTCTGAGAAAACAAAATTCAGATTTTAATATAAGACAGTCTGCCATTAATATAATGGCAGTCTGCCATTATAGCTGCTTTTTCAGTATTTGAATAAAGCATCACTGTCTTCCATGACTCTTTTCCTGAAGACTAAGCCACATTAACAAAAAAAAACAAAAGAAAAAAATACCAATCCACATAGAGAAGTCAGTATAATGCTCTGAATTACTGGTTCTTCTAGCATAACCACCTATTCTTAGTATACATTTTCCAAAGTTATAATGAAACATACGCTCTAATACAGACTGTAGGGAAGGTATAGCCATCTTGTTATATAATATATACGCCAGGGAACATTTAGTCAGATTGAAGTTGCATAATATCAACTACCTGAGGGGAGTTTGTGCAACTTCTGCTAAGGTATCTGGAGCTGACCACAGGTCTGAAATTGAGTCTGATCCAGCTGGGCAGCTTCAGAGCCTCTCTACATATAATAAGACAGAATTAAGAATACAAGAAAAAAATAAAGCCATAAATATCCTGCTGTAGGCACAGTTTTTAGAATAGGCTTCTCTTTTCTTTTAAATGGAGAGACAGGATAATCCTACCTATTTTTTTTACATGTATTTGGGAATTCCACACATAATTAAATTCCAATAGGATGAAAAACATCCTTTTTGTTTTCCCCCACCGTATCCTATTAATGCCCTTGTTGAGCAGAACTCAGGTGGAACCAGGGAAGTGACACCAGCCACCCAATGCCTTCGAACCGGCTGCTGCCTCGTGGCTACGATCCGAGTGCCCGGAGAACAAGGATTTGTTGCAATCACTGGCTTGCCACCTGCTTGAGGCACCCAACTGTATCTAGCACAGCCATGCTGGCAGGCTTTCACCAGTAAATACACAATAACATTTGTGTGTTTACAGCATCTGCGAAAGGTGTGGGGAGGACCATTGCTCTGCGGCATGTTTCCAAAGCAAGTCAAACCCATTAATTAAATCCATTCTCTTGTCCTGCTTCAAAAGGAAAAACAGAGCTGATTTATGGGTATTGACAGCTGCAGGAACCAGGAGTTGTTTTTGGTCTCTGCTTCTAATTGATTTTTAAGCATCTGGGTAGGCTGATTTCTCAGATTCGGATGATACAAAAGGCTACACGTCCTCAGCATGCACGAGGAAAGAAAATGAAGGTGCTCCAGACACAGACTGCTGCCTGGCAAGCTGCCCTGCTTTCTCAATTCCCTCTGAATAACACTTACAGAAACTGGGTATCTGAACACCTTTGTGCCCAAGCGACTCCCAGGATGAAGCTCAAGAAGTCCTGCTCCCAAGGCACTTCTTACCTAGTCATTTCTTATCTAGCCGGTGAGAAGATGAGAAATAAATGGTACCTGAGAAGCAGCATAGTTTACTACAGCTGACAGTTCTCCTGCTAACTGCGTGCCCCTCAAGAAATTGCCTCAGATTTCTTCTTCTAGAGGGAATATAAATGTCTCTGTATTGCCAGATCAAATGGCAATATATGCAAATAGCAACATACAGCAAGAGAGCACGGATTTCATCTGCTTCTCTTCTTCCTTGTTCTTCAAACAAGGCACACACTGCTAGTATTTTGGCCTAAAATCTGAAGGTCAGCAAACAGAAACCTTTAACACCCACTCAAAGAATAGGAAATTTTTACAGACATGGAAAACTTAGGATGCAAAACTTTGACCCCACATTTCTGGGCTATCTTTATCCATAAAGGACTGGGCAAACATAGACAAGTAAATTAACACTGCACCTCCTGCCCTGCCTTATGCTGTTGTCGCAGACACTGCCAATACAGATCAAAGTTTCCTACACATTCATGAGCTGAGACCTGGGTGTTCACGTTGTGTAACGTGCTGTAGACCTGGGTTGACTTCTACTATGTGAAAGGCTGAGCCAGATAACTCAAGGCGTCCCTTCCTATTCAGTATTTCTTCGATTCTACATAGCACTTCATAAAACATAAAATAAATTTATTTTGTTGTGATTCATCTTCCAGGCAGCAAAACCTTGGCTAGCCACAAGGATAGCACTATCTAACATGGTTCATGATTACTATGTGCCAGAAAGAAATAGAAAGTAGCCCGCACAGTCTGTGAGACTGGCAGAACAAACAGAACATAAAAATCTCTCTTAGCGCCAATAACCTAAGCTTTAGAAGTGGCCTTCCTAACAGATAGCAAAAATAACCTGCATCTAGGCACATATGGGCACATGACAACATGCTGCAAGAGCAGCTAAGCAGAGAGCATTATCATAAGCTGCCTTGGCTAGTTGGAAGATGCTAATAATTTTTCAGAAATCCCTTGTCTCTATTTGGTGTAGTTACAGACAACTACACCAGCAGTTTCTGGCACTTTCAGCTTACAGCAAGGCAAGCAAACCTCGGCACACCCGTGGCAGCTGGAAGCTCAGCCAATGCAGCCCAGAAAGCAGCAGGATCACGGGGCTCTTCCTGATGAGCACTGCCAGCTGGAGCTCCCTCCTCCTGCCAGCCTGGCTTGTCCACTCAGCAGATCACCTGCACATCCTTGGTTGCTGCTCAGGCTCATCACAAACCAGGGAGATCCAGAAGAGCTGCTGAACACTGTTGATTCAAATGCTAATTAATGAATGGTGCCTCGGTTACACACTTACCTATTTAATACTATTAGTGGCAAGGTTTATATTTACAAGGAGCATAATGGCATAATTCAAGATCTAGTGCACTAATAAACATAAACAATGTGTGGAAAAGCCTCTTAAAATTCAAGAAAGATTAATAAATAACCTCAAAAAAAATTTTAAACTTACTATTTGTTTATTCTCCTCCTTAGCAAGGTAAGCTAGCTTTAGACCTACATTTTTATTTTTCCATCTTAACATAGAACACAAGGGAGAAGGATACAGTTTTACAACTGAAAAATAATTTCTGGATTCCAAGCATTGATAGAAGCAATTTAAGATTTTCAAAATAAGCTTTGATTTCATAAAGCTTCTCAATTTATGACCTTGCAACAGAATCTTAAAGGTCTGAATTCTGCTCCTAGGAAGGTCAATCCTAAAACTGACCTTCATCTGATGACCTATCATCAACCCACAACAGGCCTATGTTCTATAGTGACCCTCTCATAAAGTCCATCTCAGCCTGCCTTGCACAAAGAGCACCCTAACACACCCCTGTGTAAACATTTAGAGTGAAACACATGGCCAGAAGTGCAAACAACGTATTTCCCAGCGTGGACATTGACAGAACCACTCCACATGCACCACTCAGTCAGAGAATGGACACAGATCCATTTAAAATGAAGGGATCCGAAGTAGAACAAGAAGGTAAATATAGAAATAACTGTCCATGGTGTTTGAAAGGTTAATTCTGTGCAGCACAAAGATCACGCAGGGTTTATGGTAACACAGGCTTATGACACCACATTTAGATTTTGAGCGTATGGCTGTGAGAGAGCTTATTTCCCAGCAACTAAATGAAAGGAAAAATGCAAATTGGAGCTTCTGCTGCACAGAAGCTACAGAGAACTGTAGCACTAAGAGAACTAAGTGTACTTAGTTCCCAGTAACTAAGAGACTTTTTTTTTTCTTTTTTTCTTTTAATTCCAGGTTATTTTGGAATGTGAAAGCTACTTGCTTCTTGCATCCGTGACAACCATGCAGATACTACTGCCCTGCATAAACAACCTACACTGACATGGTAAGCACACTCCAAAGATCACGTCTCTCTTCATCTGTAGCTACATCTGGCAGCAAACTGGAGCAACTTAGTATGCTGGCTTTCTCAAAGTGACACAAAAAGTATTAAACAACGTAAGTGAACAGGATGTGGCAACACTCCTTGATTTACAAACATTGTTTTCTCCATCACACAAAGTTTCCAAGGACATCTCAAAAGGGATGTTGCTAAGCAAAGATGACCTAAAAAAAGAATATTTAGCTATGAATTAGTTGTGAGTGTAATTTGCAGGAATAACAGCCACATTCCACACTACCACCAAGTAAAAGAGGAGAAAGCGCCAAAGGCCATGAAAAAGGAGATATTTTTAACTCAAGTTTTTAAATACAAACATAGAAATGGTTTATGCCTCATCCTGGTTGACACAGAGAAAATTAACTACTGGTTCACTAGAAAGTCAGCTTCTTCAGGTATTCTTTTCTTAAGCCTCAAATATTTGACACTGAAATTTCAGCATTTATTTTAACATGGTATGTAGACTATTTGCAGCTTCACTAACCCATGGCTTTTCCTACTAAAACAAACAAAAAACACCTCTTTGGGGTCAAAAGACAGTCAGATACCTTGTTATTGTCAGGGGGAAGGCAGAAGTTCACAGTGAAATCATCTACCTCTTGACAAGAGGTAAGGGGGGTATGCCTACCACCTACCAACAGCTATGACCTCCATCAGCTCTCCTTTTTGGCATTTTTCTTTCCATTTCCAGAAAAACATGGAAACATATCTTGTAGTAGATTTAAAAGAAACAAACAAAACCCAATTATAAACTGGAAGAAAATCCTGCCACTCCACAGTTTTTTAGACAGACAAAAGCAACTCTCCAGAGATAAGAATGCACCACAGAGCTTAGTTAAAACAGGAGAAACCTTTTACACTGGTTAAATAAAATCTGCATCTTTTCAACATGTGGCAGGAGGCCATGATTTTATTTTCATTTAAAAGCACCATGGTATGTGTAAATGTTTAGGCCACAGTTTACACAAAACAGATGAGGACATGAAGACAAAATTACACTGTTAAGTAAGATTAATTAGAGATTAGGACAGAAATTAAATGGAAGAATCTACATTGTAATTAATAATGACAGCTATATCAAATAAGAATAGAATTAAGGTAGAAGGAGACACAAGATGACTCATAAAAAAATAAGAATAGTAATGAACAATAAAATATTCTTCTCAAGCTTTATTATTTCCTCTACCTAACCTACAAAAGGCACTTTTAACAGATGCACAGATACTTTCTCAACTCTTTGCATCAGTGTAAGATTGAACAGGGCTATAAATCTCCAAAGTGCTGCACAAACATTAAGCTCTGGGAAGGATATGAAACTGCAGTGAACAAGGTAAGTGAAGCGACTTGCTGTAGGACAACAGAGCAATGCGATGAATCAAAGGCTTCCACCCAGACTCTCCTTCACACTGAGTCACATCATATATCTGGGCCACCTGAACTGGATTCCAAATCACAAGCCTCTGAGTTACAAATCAGCAGTATGCACTTATTTTTAAGTCACCTTTCAGGCTCTTAATGGGAAAGCTTCCACCTATGGCACTGTGTGCTGTTGGCTTCCTGATGCTGTGGGCTCGCAGAAGCTGTGAAACTACCTGAGCAGCTAAGGGGACTTTCAAACCTGAAAGCTAGCTGTGACATTTTAAGAGAACGTTTAAGACCTCAACCAAAAATGTGGTTCATATATTTGTTTCTATGCAAATCCAGGGTATGCAAACAAAAATGGGGTAGCAAAAACAGTAGCAACTGCAGTGACCCTGTCTGTCATCCCCAGCCCTGTTACCAATTGATGGTCAATTCATTAATCACAGAATCATTAAGGCTGGAAGAGACATTTGGAGATCATCTGGTCCAAGAGCCTCCTGCTCCAGCAGGGACACCCAGAGCACGTGGCACAGGGTGGCATCCAGGCGGTTGTGAAGATCTCCAGAGAAGGAGACTCCATGACATCCCTGGGCAGCCTGTTCCAGGGCTCTGTCACTCCCACAGTAAAGATGTTCTTCCTGAAATTCAGACGAAACTTCCTGTGTTTCAGTTTGTGACCACTGCCTTTTGTCCTATGGCTCACCACTACTGAAATGAATCTGGCCCCATCCTCTTTACATGCTCCCCTAAGATATTTCTATATACTGAAAATAAAGTGCTGTGGTTTAGATCCTAAACAATTTGTGCTGATAGGGATTACAAGGCCATAAAAACCTCACCGTTTTCCAAAAAAACATCATCCAAGTTCAAAAATGACCCCAGCACATTCAACACTATTTGGAATACAGGCTAGTAACACAAGCTGCACTGAAACTTCACAAATTATTGTTGCCGAAGCAGAGAGATGCTGGGATCAAAGAAAGCACATGATACACATTCTAAAATACACAGGAAAATACACTGTTTCACAAAAATGAACTTTGTGATTAATATTTATTACAGCTTTGCACGCACACACAGATCCACATGGGCATATGCCCACATTCCACTTGCTATGAAAAATACAAAAAATATTAATACTTTAAATAATGCAAAGGCATCTGCTTTGTTTTATTCCAACTCTACCAGTATCTTTCAAATTTCTCTCTGCAAATTCACAGCAGAAAACATTTCCCTGAACTTTCCGTTTAGCCCAGAGCGTACTTATCTGAAAGAACAACAGCTTTACCAGATACCTGGAATATTATTGAAATGCCAGAGGCATTTCTTAAGTTTCCAAGTTCCTGAAAATCTGAAGGAGAAAGTTCTGACAAGCATAAGGGTAAATTTTAGCTGATTCTATAAATATCCCAGCCCCTAGCGAAGAAAAAGGTTTTTGATGTTTGAAGATTTTCTAGTTTTATTGTTGCTGCTTGGCGTATAAACATTTCACATGAGCCCTAATCCACAGTAGCAGGCAGGCTCATGCTCACTTTAAGCAGGTTAGCATTCCGATTCAGCTCAAAGGGATGAGCATATTACTCAAGTGATCTGCTTGATCATTGTCTAAATTAAGAATTTAGAAAGGCACAGTTTTCACATTTCTAACCAGTTTTCAGTAGTCAGCCCCCATCTCACCTCCTCCACTTTGCGGACATGTGCAGAGACCATTTACAAAATGCTGTTTTATTATTGCAGGATCAAGACATTTAAAACAAACTTTTCAAGCAATCAATGGAGTACAAACTGACTGGTAAGCCTTTTTTTATTCTCCTTGCGTGGGTTTAAGATTTCCTTGCTCTTCACTATTATTCCTTCAGCACAGCAGAATAGAGAAGCTTTGTGGTAGCCAGCGCTGGGTGACAAAACTGGTTCTTAACTGTGTTTCTTTCCCCTAATATTTCTTTATTAGCAAACAAAAGCTTACCTGTTTCCACTTTAAAGTTCAGAAAAAGTTAATTACCATAAAGCAGAAATACAAGATACAAAGTTGACTCATTCTAAGTCAAGTTTGACTCATTCTAAGTATCAGAGGAGAAAATGATGAAAGGCTGGCAAAGGTTATGAGAAGGACACGCTAAAACAATGGGGAAGAGAAAGAGAAATTTAGTGAAGGAGAAAAAGTTGAAAAATATGAGAATTGATTTGGGTTCAAGAGGAAGAGCACACTGACCTCCAACAGTTCCCTTAGCAAAGGGAAAGCTGCAGGTTATTCAATTAGATGGACAAATCCAATATCCTGACAATTTTAAGAAAGCGCCTGGGTCTTTTTTCTTCTTCTTCATCCAGAAGGGAATGAGTGAGTCACACTGTTTCCAGCTTTATCCAATTTTCTTTGTATTAAAAGAGGCTAATGTTCTGAACGTTAGAACACCACCGCACTATCTGCCACTAGCAATCTGCTGGATCATCTAAACAAATCGGAAGCATTTGAAATATTCAAGACTAGAGAGCCACAAAGCTCCAGCTGAAGACCCCAGCTGGGATCACATATCCTACATGCTGCCTACAGGCATCTACTCAAAAACTCCAATATGTGGTTGAGGCAACCTCCATAGTTATCCAAGTCCTTAAGTAAAAAGGTATGATACACTTAAAGGATAAAGGCCTGCTAAATACCAGCAGTGTTTCTTCATACCTGTGACAAAAAACAAACAAACAAACAGCAAAAAAAAAAAACACAAAAAACCCAGTAAGCCTATTCACAAACTGGTCTGCAAACAGAACATGAATTTTCAATAACCCAGGATGCCAAAGCTACTTATGAGTTAACTTGTACATATACATTTAGTTCACTTACATGTAACTTATTTTAATATTAAAAGCTTTTATTATTTTCCTATTTAAAGCTGCAATAATTTTATAAATTCTGAAGAGAGTCAAGTTCCCATCTCCTCTCCCTTCTCCCCCTTCCTCTGTATTATTATTTTCCTATTTAAATACTAATAATTGCAATAAAAATTGCAATAATTTTATAAATTCTGAAGTGAGTCAAGTTCCCACCTCCTCTCCCTTCTCCCCCTTCCTCTGTTCACAAAGTGCATCCTAGATCATGTACAAAGTCAGTCTGACAACAAGGTATTTTTTAAGGTTCTGCTACCTATAGCCCCCAAATTGCTGCAGAAGGCCAGAAAACTGTTACTGGTTTCTGCTGCTGAAGTCACAAAGTTTATACAAGAGGGAACAGCAGCCAGTAAATGAAAGATTCTCCCTGGGATGCAAGGACGGCTCGGTTTCACAGCCGCACGGAGTGTGCTGCTATGCTGCGAACTAGTGGTGGTTACACACTGCAGTCACACCACGCTGCTGGGATCCCGCCTGCCTGGAGCTGGCTTCTCCCAGGCTTCATCCTGGGGCAGTAGGACACAGTCTTTGCACCGACTGCAGGATCTTTTTGGTTTTCCTAATGGCCCAAACAGAAATTCTGATTCACAACAGCATTGGCACAATAAAATGAAATTATTCCAGAAGGCCATAAAAAAGACAAAAAGATAACGATATTTTTATTTGAAGAATAATCCAAGTTGAGAAAGTATTTCAGTATTCAAACAGGCTCACTGTCTTCAGCTGCACTGAATTCTGAAAATGGAAGTCTAAAGAAAAGCGACTTCTGAACCAGAAGACAGCAAAAAGCAGCTTAGCTGGCAGCTGTGCTGACATATGAAAGTCAAGCAAAAACTTTGTTTTCCCTGTCAGTGCTGCAAAGAAAATCAAACTGTGCAGTTTGTGGTTTGTTCAGCTCCAGGAGGAATAAGTGCTCTGAAAGCCACACTCTGCTTTTACTTGCATTCTACTGATGCTCCCTGGTGAGGAAAACGAGGCAGACCATGGCGGTTAGAAAAGAACCAGATTGGCCCTGTGTTGCTAAAGGTTCTTGGGGACTGTGGTACCCATTCAAACCAGGGACCTGAGTGACCAAGGAAACACTGATTTTCTCCCGAGTTCCTGGGTTCAGCGCTCCTGCGCGTTTCGCTCGCACGCAGAGGCCGAGGTCTCTGGCTGCACCTCACTACATGCTCCTGTTCATCAGTTTGCTCAGCACTGTCCCACGCAGGCAGGCAGACACAGCCAGAAGTAAGTCTGCTACGGGACAGACCTTCGTACTCTTCCCGACCCCAACAACTGCCTTTCTCAAATTCAGCTATGGTTCCTGACATCTTTTACCAGACACAACAGCATCTTTGACCTATCTTTGACTGATTTTTAACAGATGTCTTTGACCTCTCAGTACCTGTTGAATTTTCTCAGCACTCATACACTCTACCAAAGCCTTTAATACAGTGTTGGAACAAGCAGCATGATTGTTCCTCTCTGTCTACTCTTTCTGACCTAAATTTGCTGAGTTCTGTGACATTTTTAAGTCCTCCTTCTTTACTAAATCTTTCATCCAGGCATAGGCTTTGAAGTCTAACATCTCCAGCTAATTTTGCACATAGAACTAGAAACATCTGCAAGTAACCTACCATAAAACCTTTTATTTATGACATTTCAGATAAAGATAAGTCTTCTGAATCAGCTAGAGAAAACATATTGAATTTTGAACTATATGTAGTTTTCATGACCAAAGAAATGGTTCAGTTGCTAGGAGGGGGGAAAAAAGCCTTGGAACAATAATATACACACAAATATCTCAATATTTCCAGTGAAGTAGAAGCTAGTCATAATTTAATCAATGGAAGAACTCATCAAGTTTCTTTAGCAGTAAACTGAAAGGTTTCCATTGATTTCAGTGAGAACCATAGGAAGCCAAACCTAGAATTGCTGCTTATTTCTCACGTAGGCACACAGAATATGTACGCACCCTGTGCAAAAGGGTTCTGGCCTTCAGGATGCTCAGATGTGGCCACTGAAGGGGAGGAAACCCACTACAGAACAGCACTGGAGCAACACGCAGCAGCTCAGACTGCTTGATTCGCTGGCCGGTGCAACAGCGGGAAATGGCCAGAGCGGATCAGAAGGGACACGGACAGGCACTCCAAGTACACATCTTCCTAGCAAAAACAAGAAGCAGTCTTCTTGAACAGGAACTACGTAAGAAGGTAGGGAACAAAGTAGTATTTGTCAGTATTCAAATATTCTGCACATGCGAGAAACAAGTAATAGTTTTTAAAAGATACATGCAAATGAACTTTCAAATTATGCTTTTCATTTTACTGCAACATCTTCATAAGCTACTACTTATTCTAAAAGAAACATTAAAAAAAAGGACTCCAACATCTATGACATGCAGCAGTTGCCACATGCTTCCCTTTCAGCACGCATATGCAATCAAGTCAAACAAGTTCTCGGCACGATACTTTTGACTCTTTGAATTCCAAAACCAGATCTTCAGGAATTGTGCTTCAAAGGCATCATTTTACCAACAGAGAGGAAAAAAAAATGCTTCACAGGTCTAGGACACAAAAATGTACAGTTCTGTGGACCTGTTCACTGGTTAGGCTCTTTTTACATTTTTATACCACTATCTTTCCTTGTAACCTAATCTGCCATGTCACCTCTTCTAAGGTGACAGTTATGGCACAAAAATGATTAGCTGCTTCCTCCATCTGTGTCTGAGCTGGCCTGCAACACTGTGCAAATGAGCAATGTTTCTCTCCAAGAGATTCACTGTATCATGTACAGAAGCACAAGAAATCTCCACTCTCCTCAGGGAGCAGAGCCACAAACCAGTGTCTAATACAGCAGCTCTCACATTCTGCTGCTGGGTCAGCAGGCCCAGATGCTCTGTGATGTCCCATCTAGCTGCCAGCAGTTATCCATAGGGACAACTTGTCCCCAGTCCTTATTCAAGCTTCCATTTCACTGAACACAATCTCATCTACTGCACATGACACAGCAGAGCCTTCCGAAACAGAGTTGGGGAAAAAGGCAAATTCGAAAACATTTCCTATTCTTGCTCCAGTATTCATTTTCACTCTAATGCTTTGAGATTCTTGGTGATACCTCAGGGAGCTGTAAGTTCCCTGGTCCAAAACTGAGGTCCCTACCACATCCTGTAATGTGGTGCACTTCATTTCCACCCAGGTGACCAGCTGAGTAAAATTCCCAGCCAAAACTGCAGCAGAGGTGGTAGGAATGGTTGAGAAAAGGTTGGGAAGTTCTCCCAGAAAGACCAGCTTCAGTTTGTCCCTCAGCCTCAAACTCACATATCTCAGCTATCAAAGTGACACCCTCAAGACCCTATTATGAAGTAGGTGCTGAAGATCTGCCCCTGTGAGAGGAATAATTCCAGGGAGCACAAGCAAAAGAAGAAGAATTATAGCCCAGTACAAGGATGGTTGAGCTGGAAAGAGAGGGCATCTCAGTCCGTGACTATAGGACTGTTTATGTTAAATATTGTAAATATTATATGGGAGAAAATTCATAATAGTTTTTTTCAAACCAGAGGCTGACACCCAAGAATCCATTCTGCAAAGGGCAAGTCACACAAGCCCACAAAGAGGTACCTTAACCTCCCAAAAGAGATGAAATCTCAGAGGCAATCCCTCATTACAGAAAGACCAGCTAGGGATATTTTGAGGTTCCAACTGTGTCTCCAAGCACAGATCGCAACATGGGCCTAGCCTAACGCAATTGTCAAATTAAAAATAGTTTAAGTGATGATTGCTTCTTTCACACGTACACGACCATCTGTTTACCACATGCATTTTTTTGCCTTGTCACACATTTAGACTGTGTATCCTTTGGGAAAGCGAGTGTATTTCGATGTTTTATTCTGCACAATATGGTCCTAAATACAATTCCAGGCTTTAG